CGGGCGCCTGTAGTCCCACCTACTTGGGAGGCTGAGGCAAGAAAACCACTTGAGCCCAAGAGTCTGGAGTTGCTGTGAGCTATGACGCCACAGCACTCTACCCGGGGTGACAAAGTGAGACTTTGCCTCAAAAAACCCCCCCAGAAGCCCCCAAACCTGTTCCATCAACTATGTCAATATATGACAAAGAAGGTCACAGCAAGCCAGTGTTTATATTTTTAGTGATAAATAGTACACTATGTCTCTAAAAATGTTACTATGTATTATTTTCCGCACCTTATCATTTTATCCTTGTAACGCTGCTATGGCGGAGGTTACTATACTCATCTCCAATTTAAAGGCAGAGAGGTTGAAGTTGAAGAGTTAGTAAGTGGCAGAGCCTAGGCGATATATATCTAGGTGATATAACTCTAGAGCTCGAGTCATTACTATTTTGTTGAACATACTGTGTTATCCATCTTCAGCTTATGACATAAATATGTTAGTATTCTAAAGTCTGACAGGACAAAATGCTGGTTAACTTTACATGTAAGTATAATAATATTTTAAATAACATAACAACTGAAGCACAACAATTAAAAGAAAGTGGACTTTCATCCTCAAAATTCAAGAAACATAAGAAAATGTAAACACATACTATACCATACTTGTATAATAAGCAGAAGAAAAATTGTAGTAATAAGAAGTTATTGAGAAGAATTTAATAAGATTAAACATCCATTCCGTAACTAAATGCGTACAAGGGTGTTACCCTTCATAAGTAACACTCTTAACCAAAGTAAAATTTTAATATAAACGGAAAACATATATGCCAAATATATAAAGAATAAATACCCAGATTCTGCTCTATAATTCAATGAGAAATAGTTTACATACACAGAAATGTGGATACTAAATTTCTACATGGAAATGCATATGCATGTCAAATACATCCTAATTAAAACCCTTAAGTCATACCAATGAAAATAACCAAAACAATTAAGCTTTCGACTCAACTACTGATAGAACAGAGGATATTTATGTTTATATCAATGTACACTGATGACAGCATTATAAAATTGTTTATTCTTTTGGTGAGAAGTATGGCCGAGTCAGTTAGAATTTATGTGGAATGATGTTATTAATAAACACGCAGGCTCGGCGCCTATAGCTCAACCGGCTAAGGCGCCAGCCAGTACACCTAAGGTGGCGGGTTCGAGTCCCCAGCCCGGACCCGCCAAACAACAATGACGGCTGCAACCAAAAAATAGCCGGGCATTGTGGCGGGTGCCTGTGGTCCCAGCTACTTGGGAGGCGGAGGCAGGAGACTCGCTTGAGCCCAGGAGTTGGAGGTTGCTGTGAGCTGTAATGCCATGGCACTCTACCCAGGGGGACAGCTGGAGGCTCTGTCTCAAAAAAAAAAAAAAAAACACACACACACGCAAACATACACATGTAAACTACAACTATGTGTGAATACACACCTGAAACATCATACACAAGCACAGGGCAGTGTGAATGGAGTCTGTGCTGGCTGATAAAAAACAGGAGTTACCAACCAAGACCTGTGGTCAGATCTGAGTCTGACCCCAGGAGCTGGAGGCTGCAGTAAGCTATAATGAACCACTGCATGCTAGCCAGGAGACGGAGTGAGACTGCCTAAACAAAAAAAATTAAAAAAAGAAAAATTAAGGCGGCACCTGTGGCTCAAGGAGTAGGTGCTGGCCCCACAAATGGGGGGTGGCGTGTTCAAGCCCAGCTCTAGCCAAACCTGCAAAAAAAAAAAAAAAATCCTTGGGCAGTGCCTGTGGCTCAGTGGGTAGGGTGCCGGTCCCATATACTGAGGGTGGCAGGTTCACCATATACTGAGGGTGCCGGCCCCAGCCAAACTGCAACAAAAAAATAGCTGGGTGTTGTGGCAGGTGCCTGTAGTCCTAGCCAAGTGGGAGGCTGAGGGAAAAGAATCCCTAAGCCCTGGAGTTGGGAGTTTGCTGTGAGCTGTGACATTAAGCACTCTACTGAGGGTGACAAAGTGAGACTCTGTCTCAAAATAAATAAATAAATAAAAATTAGGCATGCACACACAAATGTTACCCAGTATAAACTGGTTAGTGTCCCCAGAGGAATATATAAAATTTTAAGATAACTCAGATAGTGAGTCATTTCTGAATTTTATTTTAGAGCTGAGGGAGAAAGGACAAAATTGAGTTTATACAAAGGAGAAATAGTGTAGTTGGGTATGATATGGACAACGAGGTAGAGAGTTCTGGGACTCTAAACCACCTAAGGACCTAAGAGACAGAAAGGCAAACCATGGGTCATTTGCAAATGTGGTAAGATATGGTTGAGACAAATTACTGAGGACTTTTATTATCACAGAATAGGAAAAGGAAGGAAGAATGAAAAGAGTAAAACAGAAGGCTGAGGTCTGAGCTTTAAGGAAATGCTCTGAGGGAGACAAGGAACAGGGTCCTCTGAAAGGGAAAGAGACAGGTGCTCAACAAAACATTTGTTTGAATGAAAGGAACGGCCATTCCTGCATGTGTTACAGAATACAAAAACAAATGAGCCCAGTGATTTTACAAGGAGAACAGGAAAACAAGACCCTGTGCACTTTTGAATGCAGAAAGTTTTTTTGTTTGTTTTTGAGACAGAGTCTCATTCTGTCCCACCCTCCCCACCCCCATAGAGTGCCGTACTCACATCCTTGGGCTCAAGGGATCCTCTTGCCCCAGCCTCCCAAGTAGCTGGGAGCTACCTGCCACCACACTATTTTTAGTAGAGACAGGACTGGGGAGGTGTGGGTGTGTGGGTGTGAGTGGTTTGCTCTTGCTCAGGCTGGTATCAAATTCCTGAGCTCAAGCGTTCTACCTGCCTCAGCCTCCCAAAGTACTAGGATTATAGGAGTAAGCCACCATGCCTGGCTTGAATGCAGAAGTTTATTCCTAATTAGGAAGATAAGAACTATGTAACAATACAATGTAATAAAAATCATCTAAGAGCTCACCTCTTTTAAAAAGTACGTATCTGAACATATCTTTGTGTAGTGTTCCTAGATAATTCTGAATCCATGCAGCTTTTTTTTTTAAATTAAATCATAGCTGTGTACATTAATGCAATCATGGGGTACAATGTGCTGGTTTTATATACAATTTGAAATGTTTTCATCAAACTGTTTAACATAGCCTTCACGGCATTTTCATGCAGCTTTTGAATTTAAGACTTTAAAAATAATTATAACAAAAAGTGAATATCTTTCATATGATGGTAAGAGGAAGATGTTTGAAATAATTCTGAAAGATTTATCAGATAACTTTTCTTCTTAGACTGGCACCTTTCGTATATTCAGAGTTTTATGTATTTCAAAATAAGGAAAACCAACTTAGAAAGTTATTAGGTATCTAGAGAAGAAGCACTTTAAATTCGACCACATATAATATTGAGCTAAAATAATAAATTCAGCTAAAATATTTAAATTTTAAGAACCCTATAGAATAGAAGCTAAAAAAATAATTTTAAGGTAAGGTTAAAATTTGAAAGCTTTGAAAGCTTTGAAAGCTTAACTTTCTCTTCTTTTTCTTTCTAGCTATATATATTTTTTCCCCAAAATTCCACTAAAATATGTTTAAGAAGTAAGATTAAAATCTCTGCCTAAATTTAGGGAACAAGTTGATCACCATATGTTTAATTACAGTACTTTACTAGGACTATATTAAGATAATGACAAGATAGAGGTCTAAAAATATTTCAGAGAACTGTTTTTACCGTTTAAGATGCTATCTTGCTTAGTTTCAGTGAATAGGCAATGATGTCAAATTAAAGCAAGCTTTCCTGGGCAAGTCATGGCAAAAAGTGTATGTATGTATATACCCACACCCAGTATCACCATGCGGACTCCCCTCTAATACTCAATGCGACACACACACTGCTAAAACAATTTTCTGCTTAACCATATTGTCAGTCCATACCAGTGGAAACTTCCATGGTTATTAATGGATTAATTTATTAATTTGGCTTCTGTTTGTTGATCCAAAGTGTAAGGAAAGAGAGGCAAGGCATTTATAAATTTAGTTATATGATTAGTTGTTTGAAATATCATATGGGTTTCACTTTACAAAGTGAAGTAACATTTTCTAAGCCTTTATACAAATAAACACTTTACCTTTATGACACCTTAACATTGCTAACCCAAGTGTACATCGACATAATCTGATAGACTTGTTTTTTAGGTAGTATCACCATCCTTTACTAGGCAAAATCCTAAATTGTTAGTGCAGCTAACGATATTTCTGATTCACTCATATAAATTCTGGTTTATCTAACTCAATTAGCCTGTAATATAGACTCACAGAAAATACAATATGCTTAGTATTAACCTAAGCTGCTTTTAAAAAAACCATTGTTTATTAAGGGCCAAATTTTGAATACTTTTAAATTTCTAGAGACTGTTTTTTTCCATCCCAAATGCCATTTAGGATACTTTATTTTTTATTTATTTATTTTTCTTTTAGAGACAGAGTCTCACCTTATTGCCTTCAGTAGAATGCTGTGGCGTCACAGCTCACAGCAACCAGCACTTCTTGGGCTTGGGCGATTCTCTTGCCTCAGCCTCCTGAGTAGCTGGGACTACAGGTGCCTGCCACAACGCCTGGTTATTTTTTTGTTGCAGTTTGGCCAGGGCTGGGTTCGAAACCTGCCATCCTACTCACTGAACCACAGGTGCCACCCTAGGATACTTTAAAAAAAAGACAACCCGCCTGTTGTCCCAGCTGTTTGAGAGGCTAAGATAAGGATTGTCTGAGCCCACAAGTCTGAGGCTGTACTAAGCTATGATCATGCTGTGTACAGCCACTATACTCCATCGTGGGCAACACAGTGAGACCTTCTCTCAAAAAAAAAAAATAAATAAATAAATAAAAATAAATAAATAAAAAGAGCAATATAAACATTCCACGAAAGTATGGTTAACAGGACAAGGATTTGAAATTAGATTTCAGTGCAAATGTAAGAAATATGCTTACCTTTGATTCGAGGTAGACATTTGCTGATGACATTTTTGTAATTTTGCATATGTAACTAACTAAAGAGATGGCACAAAGAATAAACAGGCTATCATTAATCAGTGCTCGGACAAACACAGTCCATTTCAACTGATTTTCTGGGACATCTCCGTGGACTAGCATTGCACAAGTCAAGTTCACCACTAAGAAGAGAAGGCTTGCCAAAATAAAGCCCAAATGCAGCAGAATTCTGAAAGAAAAAAATGTAGTTAGATGTTTCTAAACCATCTTAAAATGGCATAGATTTTTTAAGTATTAATTCAGAAATAATATCATGTTAACTTCAATTCAGGTGTCTTTACCAGAAGAATAATATGGGACTATTTTAACACTATTTCAAATAATCTTGATTTTTTTTTTTGAGACAGAGTCTTACTTTGTTGCCCTGGGTGGAGTGCCATGGAGTCACAGCTCACAGCAACCTCAAACTCTTGGGCTCAAGTGATTCTCTTGCATCAGCCTCCCAAGTAGCTGGGATTATAGGCACCTGCCACAATGCCTGGCTGTTTTTGGACACAGGGTCTCACTCTTGCTTAAGCTGCTTTCAAATTCCTGAGATCAAGCGATCCACCTGCCTCGGCCTCCCAGAGTGCTAGGATTACAGGTGTAAGCCACCGTGCCTGGCCTCTGAATTTTTTGTTTTCATAACTATTTGTCATATTTTCACTGATCTTTCCATACCAAGAATTACCAGGCTTTTATAATTTCCCTGAAAAATAATGTACTATGTCTAAATTTATATTGCTTATTTAATATTAATTTTAAGAGGTAAGGGAAATCTATTTTAAACAACAACTTGACTAAAGAACATACATAGGCACAATATATGTAGAGTCTCAAGATCTACCTCATCTTCCTAAAAAGTTGAGCATTTACTACTTATACAGAGCAACTCCACACATGAAATGCCTAGCCTCTTCCCTCTAAGAAAAATCAGACCACTTCATAAAAACTCCCTAGGTAAGATGTGGCTATCTGTATCAAACAGCAATAACAGCTCTCTGTAGGAAAGTAATCCTACTTCAAATGTGTTTATACCCTTAAATGAAATAACGTGATCCAGAAATTTATCTGGTATCCCAATATCTTGTATTTTGGGTCACTTTCAATTTTTAGAGTCATAAAGTACCTGCATTTGGAAGCGGTTTACACGAGGTAAATTGAAGGTAATGTGTAATCTGTAACAGGCAAACCAAACTGTTATGTGTACATAAAAAGTACAAAGATTTTGAAAAGGTTAGATTTTAATATTCTCAGATTAAGTAATAAAAATAATTATACAGTTTGGCCTTCAAAAGGATCTAGAAACTATGCATCCAAGGCATCAGAGTAGTTTAGGAAGCTAAAACATAAGAGGGAATAAGAGGTAAATAGTCAGCGAATTAGTGGGAAACTGCACAGTATGATCCTGAGATCGGGACTGAAACATTCCCTATTGCATGGAATTACCCACACTCTCACCCTAAACAGCAGTTTAACTTTGGTAAAAGTGGACTCTATGGAGTCCATCTGAAGCGAGGCAGTGACAGCAGCAAGAACAAGGTTATTAGTCAGCAGTATGGCTAAAGGCAGAGAAATGTGGGCTACTAAGTTCACTTCATCTGAACCAATCTAAATATTTGGATTTTCTAGAAAACTGCTAAGCCTCCCTCAGCAACCAATCCTTCAACCTGGAGAAGTATGCTGTAAAAAAAAAAAAATATTGTATCTTTTAGATCCTAACCATTAATATTAATAAATTTCTTTAGATCTTTTAGATTAAAAATTAGATACTTGTAAGACTTACTTGTGTTTGTCAATTTCAGTGGCACATCTGACTTTACAGATAACCTATGAGAGTACAAAAAGAAAGTTTTGAAAATGTGTCATACAGTATTCTTACGTTTTCACTTTGTATCTCCAAGTGATAAAAATAAAATAGTAACAGTGAGTAAAGTTCAAATGTTAACAGTTTAATTATTATAAAGCAAAAATAGGTTTCCAAAGGCTTAAAACAGTAAAACAATAACTTTCTTTGTTATAGTCTTACACTTCAATTTCTACCTTTAAAAATGTAAACAAATGAATTAATCCAGTGTAAACAGTTACTAAACCTTTGTTACGGGTGCTAGACCTTGTGCTGGATGGCTCGCCACCCATCCTAAATTACATTCTGTTACTCATGTTTTATCTTACAATGGAACTTCTTCCTTAAATATGAACGTGGCTGAGTGTTCTACAAAGATTTTCTCTGATAATGAAGTCATAAAAGGAAACAAGGAAGGAAGAGTGAACGTAAAGAGAACGAGCATTTATCCTATTATTGTAGTAAACTAACTTCCTCTACGAACCCTTGCCAAGGGTGGTGCTCAAATACTTGTTGAATAGTTAGGCAACCAGAATTCGAAGTAAACATGGTATGTTCTGAGAGCACAGTGTGAAGGGTGCCTGTCCTTACTGTTGAACTTACACTTTGTTCTTTAGACAATGGGAAGATATTGAAGGTTTTTATACAGACACTCCAAAATAATGGAATATCATTAATCTAACATTAAGTAAAGGCTACAACAGAAGAAGTAAAGAATGGAACTAAGGAAGAGAAGGAGAAAGACCAGTTACGAGACTGTTAAAGTAAGGTATGAACATTAGGGCCCTGGAAAGAAAGAGGAAAGTACATTATGAAGAAAAATAGAGTAGGTCCTCGGTAACACACTGATTCCATCCAGACATTCACGGAGCCCCTATTATATGCTACACTCTGTGAAAGGTGCAATGGATTCAGAAACATGACCACTGTTTCTGTACACAACGAGCTCAGTATTTGGAAGAAATACATAATCCATCTACTTTGACACACTGTGATATAAATGCAAAAGATGTTATCACAGATCTAGGAAGAAAGACTAATTCAGTTCAGGAAGAGTTAAGAGGAAAAGACTGCAGAGTCAGGGAGGACCAGGGTCCTCAAACTACGGGCCACGGGCGGCCCGCCTAGGACATTTATCCAGCCTGCCGGGTGTTTTTGCTGCCACTGCCTGTCCTGTTTAGCAGGTGACTCGTCCCTGGGCCCACAGTCCAGCCCTCCAACAGTCTGAGGGACAGTGAACTGGCCCCCTGTTTAAAAAGTTTGAGGACCCCTGGCCGGAGGACTTCTTAAAGGAGGTCACATTTGAACCAAGTTATGAAGGGTAAATGAGAATTAAATGCTCAAAGACAGAGAAGCCTGTGTATCTACTCATGTCTGTCATATCGTCACACGCTGCTTAATCAGAGTGGTATGTCCTGAGAAATGTGTTGTGAGGCCATTTGATCACCGAGTGAACATCACAGAGTTCTTACAGAGATCTCAGCAGATCACACTTTCCACACACCTGGGCCACTGCTCCTGGGCTACAAACCAGTGCAACATGTTACCCTACTGAATGCTGCAGGCAACTGTAACACAATACTAAGTATTTGTGCATCTGAACATACTGAAACCTAGAAAACACACAGTAAAAATGCAGTATAAAAGATAAAAAATGGTGCACCAGTACAGGGCACTTACCACGAATGCAGCTTGCTGAACTGGAAGTTGCTCTGGGTGTCAGTGAAGGAGCGGTGAGTGCATGTGAGGGCCGAGGACACTGCTGTGCCCTGCTGTTGACTTTATAAACATCGTACACTTAGGCTACAGTAAACTTAAAAACATTTTTTTCAGTAATAACCTTAGCTTAAAATAACTTTTTTCTTTAAAATCTTTTTAATTTTTAAAAATATTTTGACTCTTTCATAGTAACATTTAGCTTAAAACACACATTATATAGCTTTATGAAATTTTTTCTTTATGTCCTTACTCTATAAACTGTTTTCTACTTAATTTTTTTTATTTTTTAAACTCTTGTTAAAAACTAAGACTATTAGCCTGGACTACACAGGGTCAGGATTGTCCGTATCACTGTCTTTCACCTCCACATCCTGCCTCAACTGGAAGCTCCTCAGGGGCAGCAACATGCATGGAGTTGGTGGCTCCTGTGCTAATAACACTTTCTTCTGGAATTCCGCCTGAACCTACCTGACGATGCTTGACAGTTCACTTTTTAAAATTAAAATTAATTTTTTTTGAGACAGTCTTACTCTGTTGCCCTCGGTGCCAGAGTGCAGTGGCGTCACAGCTCACAGCAACCTCTAACTCCTGGGCTTAAGCGATTCTCTTGCCTCAGCCTCCCAAGTAGCTGGGGCTACAGGTGCGTGGCACAACACCTGGCTATTTTTGTTGCCACTACTGGCCTTTTTTTTTTTTAGCTGGCCAGGGCCGGGTTCGAACCCGCCACCCTAGGTATATGGGGCTGGCGCCCTACCCACTGAACCATAGGTGCTACCTACCTTTTTTTTAATACATAGGAGTACACTCTAAAATAATGATAAAAAGTATAGTAAATACATAAACCAGTAACAGAGGCCTTTACTATCAAGTTTTACGTATTACACGTAATCGTATGTGCTATTAGTTTCATGTGACTGGCAGCACAGCAGACATCAGCATCAGCACAGACACAGGAGCAATATGTTGACTACAGTGTCAGGATGGCTACATCTCAAGGTAAGAATTTCTCAGCTCCATTATAATCTTATGGGACCACTGCCGCCTGTGCAGTCCTTTGTTGGCTGAAATGTGGTCATATGGCACGTGACTGTATTTTAGTTACCACCAACAGAAGCTGACTGTAATGGAGGAATCTAAAATATTACACCATCAGTCTCTAGATGGTGCTACTGAGATATTCTCAGACACGCCCATTTTCAATCTCTACTACCACAGCGGATTGTTACAACTGCCTTTTGATTTGATTCTGTTTCCCTTCCTAACTCACTTTTCCTTTATTCCCACCTCTCTGTATAGGATTTTATTTTTTGTATTTTAAATTGTGCTAAGGTATCTTAAACATGAAATTTACCATTTTAACCACTTTTTAAGTGTAGGGTTCAGTGGTATTGAGTACTTTCCCATTAGTGTGTAACCATCACCACCATGCATCTCTAGAACCTCTTTATCCTCCCACACTGAAACTCTGTCCCTACTCATTAAATAACTGCTCACTTGCTCCTCCTTTGGTAACCGCATTCCACTTTGCCTGCATGAATTTGATTACTCTAGATACCTCATGTAAGTAAATACAGCTCCATTTGTCTTCTGTGACTGATTTCCATGTACCATAATGTCTTCAAGGTTTGTCTAAATTGCTGCATGTGTCAAAATGTTCTTTAAAAAGGCTGAATGATATTTCATTGAGTATTTTTTTTGTTTATCCATGTCCACTGATAGACATTGGGTAGTTTCCACCTTTTGGCTATTGCAAATAATGCTGCTGTGAATGTCAGTGGACTATGTAAGATTTAAAAAAATCAGCAAGTTGTGTCATGCTTCTTTACTCCTAAGTACTTTGATGTATGCTTCTTTAAAATTCCCTACTGCAACCACAGCACAATTACAAAAATCATAACAATGATATTGTGTAGTTTGCAGAACTCGTCCATATTTTACTAATCATCCTAATAAGGTCCTTGTGGAAAAAAATCCAGAGTCTGGGAACAGATTTCGTGTGTATTTAGTGTCTTTTCATCATCATTTCTTTCTTCCATCTTTCATGATATTCACAGTTTTGAAGAGCACAGGCCCATGATCTTGTAGTGTTTCCTTATGGTCGGAGTCAGGTGATGCATTTTGGTAGAATACTGCGGAAAGACGCTGCTGCGTGATTCTCACTGCCTCGTATCAGGGGCTCACGATGCTGCGCTGTCCCGTTTCTGTGAGGTTAACTTTGGTCCGCTGGGTAGGGGGGTATCTATAGGGTTTTCCCCATTGCAATTAATAAGTAATGTGTGGGGAGATACGTACAGACTCAGACTAAGTAAGCATCTGATTCTTCAAACTTTCATACACTAGTTTTACTATTATCATGATTCTTGCCTGAATAAATTATGATGATGGAGTAGTTTCTTTTTAAAAAGTAAATCTGATCCCAGTAGTCCAAAAAAAAAAAAGCCCACACTTATTTAATACATAAAAGGTCTTTTATTATCTAGTCCTCCGTTCCCATCTTTACATCCTTTTTGTCCTCACCTTTAATCTTATAGTCTGGTTGTCCTGAATTACTTACAATTCTTCAAATAAGTAGTTCAATTTCCTTTTCTTTCTTTTAAAAGGGTGAGTGTTTTTTTTTTTTTATTTTTAGAGACAAGGCTCACTGTAGGCTTGAGTGCTGTGGTACCGTCATAGTTCACTGCAGGCTTGAATTCTTAGGCTCAAGTGATCCTCCTGCCTCAGCCTCCCAAGGAGCTGGGACTACAGGTGCACGTTACCACATCTGGCTGATTTCTCTTATTTTTTGTAAAACAGGGTCTCGCTATGATGCCTAGGCTGCTTGAAATCCTGGCCTCAATTGTTTCTCCTGCCTTGGCCTTCCAAAATGCTAGGAATACAGGCATAAGCCACTCTACCTGCCTTAAAAATAGTTTAATTTCATATCTCTGTGTCTTTGTACATATTTTTAGTAATATTTTTCCTGGAATACACCTTCATGGTCAGATGACAAATTTCAACTCATCCTTCAAAACTTTAGACTCCATCCTTTATATTTTCAGGTTAAGCGATTCTCTCTAACGAAGAGAAAAACCACTTTGTATCCTTACATTTCTAATCACACTCCATAGCGCTTATTTATGTACATCTCTCTTAAGAAAGCCCATAACTTACTTTGATGGCCTTAGGGCCTAGCATGATGCCTGGTTCACAGTAAATTTTTAGAAAGAGGCTGAATAAATGAGTAATGAACTTAAGTCAAAGAAAGTACTTTGGGATGGTGGTGTGG